ACCGCTGCAGAAATAAATTGTTTCTCCGAAAGAAGGTTCTTAAACAATGTCTTGACTCCGACCTAGGAACTCAGCGGGTTAACTCTAATTTTAGATAGTCTGGGAACTCGGTATCTTAATCGGGAGAGTGAAAGAGGCCGTCTCTGAAGATCCCAAGAAGAATACGTCGGATGGAAAGCCGACATAACTCATTAACGCGCGACGAGCGTGTTCCCCCCCCCCAGAAAATATTTCCCACTGGCAAACATCTTCATAGCTGTTCAAGTAGCGCGTAATCGACACTCCTTAATGACTCCAGATAGACGTCTTGAATCCTGGGCGGACAGCACTTGTCAGTCTGTCTGAAGGCCCTTCTCACTCTCTCCTCCTCCTGGTGAAATCTTTCTTCTCTCCAAAGCGTTTTTCGAGTGGGGTAAATTCCATGATCACGCTGCATGACACTCAGGCTGGCTGGCAGTGCCCCCATGAGCACGTTTGAGCGCACCTCTTTTGACAGATGGAAGACAACGAGAATCTTCGACGCTGAAAGAGATGCCTATGAGGGTACGAGCGATAGCGCGGTAGGATGGGCGGGACGAGTTGTCAGTGAATCACGCTTTCAGATGCTAGTAAAAGTGTGGTAATTGTTTCAGACATACTTAACGATGAAGTCACTCTTGTTTTCCGTGCTTTTAGTGTTTTGTTTTAAGTGAACAGTTTCGTACTGTGAAGAATTTAGCAACAGAGAGGGAGGACATATTTTGTGCCTTACTCAGCATTTCTTGTTAATTAAAATTCCCAATATTAAATTACCTTAAATATGGTATTTAGGCTTACTATCTAACAACCAGATTGAGGTTTTAGGCAATTCCGTGTCGAAGGTGCGGCGAGGGAGCCATTGGTATCAGAAAATAGGAGAATGAGCAAGGTTAAATTATAACATATTCAGCGTTAATGTAAAAGTAATAAAAATTTAAGTGTTTAAGGGCGCAATTTTATGATTTAGCCTTAGGTATTAAAAATCACTTCTAATTTCAAGCGTTAGTATCATAATTTAACTTTTGCAACAATTTTATAAGGACTTATCATGACCCAACTCGTGATAGGCTATTCATTCAATAACACACCTTCTTTCCAAGTGACATGTGTAACTATATTTTTAAAGTAAAATAAAGTTCTTTCATTTATGTCAATGACACTATTGAAATTAGTGGTTAAAGTAGTGTAAACATTTAATGTTTCTTAATAGACCCCCTTCCCCAAAGTGAAGGAATATTATTTCAATTTAATAAAAGGTCAAGCATGATAAGGCCCCACCAGAGCGGTAAAGCTGCTGAACAATGGTAGTTCCATCCGGGGTTCGAATTGCGGTGAACGGTGGTGGTGTGGTGGTGTATTTAATTATGGCAAAGCACACGAGGGCTATGTGCCTAAGGGGAGGGATGCCTTTGTGAAGGACTTCTTTCTAAGGGAAATTGGCTCGTATACACGTTACACATAGGGAAAATCACGAAAATGCCCATGCAGCCAGCCCATTCGCAGGATTCGAACCTCGGACCGAACTACCAGTGTTCAGTGACTTTCGGCCGCTGGTGAACCTGCCGGGAACGTGCTGGCTGCATGGGTGCTTTCATGGTTTCCACATGTCTAACGTCTATACCAGCTAATTTCCTTTAGAAAGTTCACCACGAAAACATCCCTTCCCTTAGGCAGATGGCTCTCAAGTGCCATAATAATAATAAAAAAAAATCAAAGCATGATAAGTTATACAAATTCTTCCATATTTTCGGCATCGGGTTGCGTTTTAGGCATGAATTTTGTAAAAAAGGATAAGCTTAAATTTAAAAATTTAAATTTCAAAGAATTTTCTACAGTGCATTTATTACATATGTTAATGTAATATACTGTAGAAAATGTGAGGCTCCTCTAAAGAATTAATAATATTGCACCGGTAATTATTTTCGACACAATGTTATTCGTTACTATCTATTATTTCATTCGCGTCTTACGCCCACCAGCGGCCAAGCGGTAAAGTCGCTGAATACTGGTAGTTCAGTCCCAGGTTCGAATCCCGCGAACGGGCATGGGCTGCATGAGTGTTTTCGTGGTTTTCCCCATGTGTAACGTGTATACGAGCCAGTTTCCCTTAGAAAGTCCTCCACGAAGGCATCCCTTCCCTTAGGCAGATAGCCCCAGTGTGCTTTGCCATAATTAAATACACTACACCCCCATTCGTGTCTTACTGTGATTTCTTAAAAACTGATAACTTTCTTCCGATTGTTTGCATTTCAAGATGTAACAGTTAAGCTAAATTAATCATTTTGTGGTTTATATTATATCCCTTTATTTCCTTTTGATTCTGGAGATTGTCAAAATTGTAACGCATATTATTTTGTGCGTATTTTAAGGTTTTTCAGAAAAAGCCTAAATATTTCACAAAATTTTATATCAATTTACGGCAACCGAGTTGAAATAACCGGAAATGAATGTCAACTTATATTTTGAATTTAAAATGAGCTTTGTGAAATATGCAGAAATGCAACGGGAGATATACACGGAAAAAAATAAAAAAAAAATCACGTCGATTTGTAGAACTATCCTAAAATATTTAAAAAATGGTAGAGTACATTACTATGCAATACTGCATTCGGAATCTAAGCCATGGATCTTATTAATACGCAAAGTTTTGATGCTAACGCTATTTTTTAAATTCCAATACTTGAACATATTCTAATATGCAGGTAACGCTTAAAATTATTGAAATTCTGTAAACATTTAATTTAGAGAAGAAACATTATAATCATTCAGAAGAAGAAATATTAGAAAAGAAGAACATAATATATATTATAATCATTTAGAAGAAGAAAGAAGAAATAGTATAATCATTCAGTATTAAACTTTCGTTCATGGAAAATGAGTTAATACTTTAATGATAATAATTTACAGCAACATTACAATTTGAAAAATTCTGCAACTGATTGCACATTGATTTCAAATAAAAAGATTTAGGCAAGTGAATAGGCTTCTTTGAAATCAATGCTTAAAAAACCGAAAGTTATTCAATTACTAATATCCAAACTGATACGCGGACCGGTAATAAATAAAAAACTTCTTTTCTGTTTCGTTTTCGTCTGCTACATTAAGAAACTGCATATTTCTGATTACGTGATTAAAAAATCTGATGTGCACACCACATGACTTCCTTGTACGGAATATTAAATTATACGCATTTTTTCTTGCATTTCATTTAAACGTATTGGATTAAAATTTAATCTATTTCGCCGACAGCGCATAAACAACAGTAGAATAAATGTATTCTTTAAAATTCATTCTATTTGTTTATCATAGCGACATTCTGGCGCTAGGTTCACTTAACAGTATTATATTTCGTTCATATTATAACTCAGAATGCACAAAATTTACATCATTTAAAGAATTGTCTAATCTTTGCCACATGTTCTATTCAAATACTATAATAAAGCTAGAACGATGTATAAAAGAAATTAAGCAAACAAAACAAAAAAGAAACAGTTTTTCACAGACGATTGAGTATTTCTCATTCAATTAATTCAGTTCTCACTTCGCGGCAAGGCAAAAATACATAAAAACTGAAAATATCCGTATTAAAAATTACGAAGTAAATCTTAAACACTTATTTCCTCGAAAAAATTCCAGAAAGGATTAAGCGTGATTTAATTCACAATAATAAATGAAGGCGTTATCTTTGTTGTTGCGAAGCTACTTTTCTCTAGATTGTCAACAAATCCAGTACTCCGCTGTTTCAAATGTAAACAAGCAAAGGCCGCCATCAAAAAAATAAATAAATAAATAAATAAATAAATAAATAAAAAAAAAATATTAGGCTTAGCAACACTTAAACAACTTTAAAATTGTTGATAATTCTAAAAATATTGCAGACAGATTTACTAAAGGCATAAAAACCTTAACCGGAAGATCAGAACAACATAATTCAATCATTTTTAAAGCAAAAAATTTTTTAGAAAACATATAAGAGTAAAGAAACTGAGATCACCGAACCGGTTTAGAGAGTTAATATATATATATAAATATATTTATATACGTTTGGCCCTGCCGATTGCAAGCAAAATACGAGGTGCACATCTACATGTTATAGTAGTCCTATATACAAAATTTCAACGTTCTGAGGCTACTCGTTTTTGAGTTATGCGAGATACGTACGTACGTACATACGTTCGTACAGACGCCACGAAAAATTCTCTTCAGAATTCATTTTAAAGCAGTTTTATAATTTTTTGGAGGAAAAGAGTCTTTTATTCTGTTCTAACGTACAGATATTATGCAAAAACATCGTTAAATTGCATTCGAAAGCGGTCAAAATGGATGTTTTCGTTGAAATATGCTGCCTGAAACTTTTCGCGATTACAATACTTCCTTTTTACTTCGTACAAGGAAGTAAAAACAAAAAGCTTTTAGATGTATTCACAGTTGCGTGCTGAATTTGATATTCCTTTACCATCTGTAATTTTCAAACTCTGAGATTTTCAAATACAAGATTAGTAGTTAGTCAATTAATATATAAATAATCTGAATTAATTTTGGAAACCTAGGAGTACAAGGTATTTATACCGCCTTCTTAGCGTGCCTTCGTGGTGTGGTGGTCTGCACGCTGGGCGCGTATTCCAGAGGTTCGTGGTTCGATTCCCGACGAAGGCATTGCTCATTTTTTATGACTCTGCTTCCAAATAAAAAAAATACCTAATGTCTCTACAGAAGTACGCAAAGGAAGGCTTCGTTGAACACAGATTGAGAAACGCCATTTTCCTCAATAATAAATTGTCAAAATATAAGATAAAACTGAGATGCTTACTTTGTATCTTATGAGATTCTTTCATGTTGTTCTTACATCTAAATGCTTTGCATATTTCTAGCGTAGATATTTTAAGTAATCTGTAAAAGTGTTAAATACTGCATTTAAGGATAAATGTCTAGATTTATTGTAACACTAATATCTTATTCTAATTATTTTATTTTCCCTGCAGGGTACAGCGTATAGCATGAAAGATGCAGGTGATCCTTGGAGAGGCATTGCACCATCGGCTTCCTATTATTATGACCCCAGTCTTGCAGCTTATGGGTATGTGTTTCATCGTATCATTAACTTTGTAAATAATCGATTTGTAAGTTAAACTGAGATCTTATAATCTGCATTCTAAAGTGATATCCTGTTTCATACTTAGTTTCAGGGATTAGAATTTAAAGCGCCTCTAAGTTAGGACTACGTTTTCCAGTGCGATTTATAATAATTATTCATCATCTGACTATCATAAATAGTAGTCTCTCTCATGTGCAAAGAAAAGACCTTATTAATGTATTTAATTTTGATATCGTAATTAATCCTTGAAATAAAAATTGCCGTTAATAACCGAAATTCCCTGTAAAGATGTATAACGGTAATCTAATTCACTGTTAGAGCTACGCTCTGTTTAACATTCCTGTGTTTCTGACGAATTTTCGTCTTCGCCCTAAACTAGGCGTCTAGAGTTTTAAAAGCATAGACAATAAACTAGAAGTTATTAACACTGCCTATAGTACGTACAACAAAAATTTAACAAAACTTTTCATCTTTACCGAGGGATCTTGAAAAATACAAATGCGTAAACATGCACAACACAACAATGTTTAAACAAGCTGGTTAAACAACAAATAACTCCAACTATTCTTGATTTTTAAGGGCTAGCAAGTGTAAGAAATCATTCATCAAAACCCAGATCTGCAAACAGATGGAAGGCTCACGAAATACACTGTTTTCAGGTGTGTTGCCAAAGCTCTCTTACATTACATATTTACTCACTATTTAAACTGAAATTAAATTAATCATTTAGTTAGTTTGTCCGTGATTGTCCTTAACCACTTTTCTTTTGATTAATATTTTATTTTCAATTTATTTTATTCTGCAAGATGATTTCAAAACCTAGTGCTGAATACGTTTATTTAATTTCTTAGGGATGTTTTCATGGTTAAGAATTTAATGGATCAAGAAAACCTCTTTTTTTTTTTTTTTTTTTTTTTAAATTCCAACATAATAATATACTGTTACGTTATTTTCTTCCTTTCCGTTCGTAGATTTGGAGTGAATAACGACGACACTTGATGAAGTATCGAAACACACTTTATTTACCAATATCAATCAGGGCAGCTCCAAAACACTTTTACAGTCCGTGAAGATCTACTATAAACACGCTGGACAATCAGCGACACAGCCTTCAAATTGTCAGGCAATAACGGTGGAGACAGCTTCAATGCGAAGCACCAGTGTACAGCTTCCGACTCTGCTTGGTCGTTCTCGGAACTCCACGTACTCTCGAGACTCTCCACGCTACAACTCGCGATGCACAAGTGTATAGCTCTCGACTCAGCACAGTCTATTGGACGATACACTAATTCGCGATACACTAAAAGACTCGATGCACTCGACGACGAACTCGGCGCTAAACTTCGAGACACTCGCTCAGTGACTGACTATCAGCTCGCTAGACGAGGCACACACACTAACTAACCGCGGAATAGCAGGGTTTATATAGCTTTCGGCTTGTGTTCGAGAACATTCTGGGCTAAACCGGTAAGAATTCGTTCCAGAAGGTTCTCCATCCGTCCATGGTATATCGCCAATTTTATCACCAAATGTCGTCAAACGGGCTATTTCTGACCAAATGTGGCAACCCTGCCTTCCCTTGCCGTTTTATGGCAATCCTAAAACTGCTTTGCGGGAAAGCCATCTTACCGCGACTGTACATTTCGTAACAATAAATTAAATAGCCTTCTTTTAAAAACATATGTAACCAATAAAGACATGTTTGCATCCTACAAGTGGCCAAGTGGTTAAGAACGCTGAATATTGGGAGTTAAACTTGGTTTCAGTCCTAGGTGAAAGGGTTGGCTATATTTTTGATTTTCTCGGTTTTCCCTACGCATAGCGTTTATATGCTCCAATTTTCCTTAGAAAATCCTGCACAGATTCATACCTCCCCTTAGGCAGATAACCCTCGTGTGCTTTGCTATTTTCAAGTAACCTAACCTAATTAAATCATATGTTTGCATATTCAGAGATCCTTTACTTGATACTCAGTGCATCAAGCCTAATAATTTATCTAAGTAGCAAATAATAGCTATAGATACCCTCGAAACACATAAACAACTGCTTAAACTTAAGTACAGTTAATGCAGTTATTCTTTTCTTCCTATGTTTATGGCTAAACTATATGGTGAGATGTTTTATAATGCATTTTATTAATTAAAACATTCTACTAAGTCCGAAATGTCCGTAGTTATGCTACGGATTAATTCACCATCTACTGGTACATTATTCGAAACCATATTTCTGTCAACACTTTCCACTGAAGGAAATGAAAACTGCTTTTAAATTTGTTTATAAAAGCAAATTAGAATTTCCTTTGCAGAAAAAATTATTTTAAGTTCTTTAATTATTTTAAGTTGTTGTTTTCTACTGGATTAAAATAGTTGTAATTGGATAATTATAAGCTTAAAATTTTTGCAACAGCTATACGTACTACATAATTTACGTTTCATAGAAATTAAACACTGTTAAGTATTACAACTTATATTAAGCTCAAAATTTTGTATTCATTATATATTTTATTAACATTATTCTAACCAGTTTAAGAAAAAAAGCTACCATTCTGAAATGAAAAAAAAAATTAATTCGATATAATTCAGAAATAAAAATAAAAAAAAATTAACAGTTTTATTAGTTAAATATTTAAAATGTTATAAGAGATGATAGTTGTTATTTGTAAATAGTAGTTTTAGAATTTTTCAAAGGTTTGTTGCTAGGGATCATACTGGAAAAATGAATAATTAATAAAATAGTTTACTTCAGTATGTGCATGTTTACGATTTTTAAAAAAATAACTGATGACCACATGATTTTCTTGTACAGCCTATTAACTTATACACATCTTTGCAGTTCATTTAAACTTATTTCCTCGAATTTATATTACACCCAAAAGTGCGTTTTCTTAACGTTGTGTGTGTTATCTTTATTTATTTAATATCATGTTCTTCGCACATAAACCACACAAAATTCAATTCAACAACAATATCACAAAACATTTAAGAACAGTATATCTTTAGAATTTCCGACAGACTGTCTCGCGCCCAGGAGATAAAAATGTTTTTTCCCTACAGTGTTGCCATTTCTCGCTTTGAAATTGTTGAGATTGTGACTCAAAAATTCGTTAAAGTTTTACAAAATAGGAAATAGATAATAAAACAAATTCGAAATTCAAAATTCGGGCTTCCAGGTTCCCATGTTTGGGTGGAGGATTACGTTATTCAAAATTGGATGGCTCTAGATATCGTCGTTCTTTCACAATGCGGGAAACATAAACATACACATTCATGTAGACTCTTCATTATTTAATTTCATTAAATATAATACAGAGCGATAAAATTTGGTGGCAACAATTTGAAAAGTGAAACGGACATTTATAGTCAAACAACACAAAATGCCGTTAAAAAAAAATGCATGTTTGTATTTTTTAGGAGTAATTTAATATTTTCAGTATATGCTCGTACACTGAATGTACACTTTGAGTTTTAGCATATGTTAAAAAATTCTAAAATTCTATATTACTATATCGTTTAATACTTAATACTTATTCTTATGAAATTTATTACGGTAGTATTGTATTTAACATATAACTAATATATATGTAAAACCATATTCCCCTTTTTCTCTAAAATATGCTTCTCTTTTCCATTTCATGTCAGTATCTACCAGTTAACCGGCATGTCAGTCAGATAAAAGAAACAGCCCGAAATTTAAAATGAGCCAAAAAATTGTATAAAACGCTCATTACTACTTGATTCTATCGTAATACTGAATTACATTTAAACTCAAGAATTTTTGTATTTTAAATATGCAGCTTTTGTGAGTTATAACTAAAAAGGCTTCTATTTTACTAATTTAACTGATAAAAGTTTAACTGGAAACAATTTTCGAGCGTTCCTTTTGCAAACTTAAAACACTAAGGAATTATTTGACGAATTTAAACTACATCATTAACTAAATTTTAACGTAATTTAAAACGTTGATTGCCCCCACGCTTAAGGGTAAATTGTATGAGTGGACCACAGTAATTTTGTTGATTCCAAAAAATTCTAAAATAGTCCATCCAAAAATTCCAAAAAATTGTATTCCAAAAAATTCTAAAATAGTCCATCCAAAAAAGTCATTCCAAAAAAGTCAAAACCTTATGTTTAGCGTTACTTTACTTATGACAAATATTATTCCTTTCCATGTAAACACACAAAGAAAAATAAACATCACTTAACAGATTATCAGAAAATATGTAACTATTATTTTCGAAACTAGAATTTTTATTCTGTGCTTCTTGTAATTGCTAATGAATTTGCATATGCTAGACACTCATGTATAGGCTGTCATATTCATGTATAATTAGGGTTCTGATCAGGGCACTTACTTGATACTCAGTGCATTGATACTCAGTGCATATATTTCTCTCGAAATATACATATAAAGTTTGTATTAGATTATCCTTAATGTCAAACATAAGTAAATTTTTAATGCAAAACATAAATTAAAAAAAAAAAAACTGAAGATTATTATGTATAAGATCAATCATTTCGCATCAATTTTATTTATTTTATTTCCAAAATTTTAGAAGCTTGTACATTTTTACGAGTAACAGAGAAATATATTTATGAAATGATATACGTTTATAATTTGGTACCAATTTGAGTTACGTTTCAATTTTGTTTGTAATTAATTTTATTTAATACGTTTGTAATTTGGGACCAATCTGAGTGATCTGGAGTCCGAAGGAATTTATATTCCCATACAAAACTGAAGAAAAAGTTACCCAACGGTGGTACAAGCAACCACAAACGTGAACATTTGCTGTTACCCACCAGTGGATCACGCACAAAAACAAACTTACCGTGATCCACCGGTGGATTAAGATGCAGTTAGGGTATTAAATAATAATGTCATATGATTTATATTTTTAATCTGTATTTTTATAGATATGGAGGCTTAGATTTCAATGGTGCCCGGAGGAAAAACGTAACCAGGGATTCCACCAGCACTTTGAAAGCGTGGTTAAACGAGCACCGGAAGAACCCTTACCCGACGAAAGGAGAGAAGATTATGCTGGCCATCATCACTAAGATGACTCTCACCCAGGTGTCCACATGGTTCGCCAATGCCCGTCGAAGGCTGAAGAAAGAGAACAAAATGACCTGGGAGCCCAGGAACAAGATGGATGCCGATGATGTCAAAGACTACGAAGACGACGAGGACGGGGAAGAAGAAGGCGACAGCAAGAGGAGCCGGACGGATAGAAGTGAAAGGGTGGAGACCGATTCCCGGACGGCGAGGTGCGACAGCGAAGATGAGGGTGATCGACGGATTACGTCGTGCGATGATTCAAGTAAGAAGACTCCTTTTAAATTATGTCGCTATTATGCGTGCAACAAATCAACAAAGACGCAAATATTACGGTGATTTAGTGGAAAAAAGTTAGACTAGTACTGATGAAAAATATATTATTTTTTAGCAAATGAACTTAGATAATATTTCATTATTTCAAAAAAATTTTCAAAAGGTTACAGGTTTCTCTTAGTTTACATTAGAAGATTTTTTTTTTCCTTAAAACCTTTATAAAACTTGAAGCGGAAAATGGATGTTCGAAATACTAGAATGATGGTGACATAAGTTAATAGAGATATAAGAAATTTGAGTCTGAAAATGGAAATGCGCAACTTACCACTCGATGGCTGAAAATCAAATCCTGTAGACAGTATTTACCCAGAAGAATAAGTCTTTGTTTACACTTTTTCAAACGCAGTTAAGCATCAGTTTTAATGAAATATGTTTATTAAAATTTTCCTTTTGTAAGTGATGGGAATAATGGTTCTACAGAAGTCAGGGTTACTAAAATTATTCGAAAAAACAAACATTCCTTAATAACAAATATGTAGATTACAGAAATTATTTTTATAAAATATTTCTTTCATTTTGGAATCACATAAGTGTAACTTTCAGAAAATTGATGGAAAGAACAAAAAATAAAGTTGTTCTCATCTTTATTTTACGAAATCTGAAATAAAATACATATCTGAAGGAGGAAGAATGAAAAACAATACACTACAACCGATAAAATATCCTTGATTTGAATCAATCATCAATATAATTTTAACGATGGAATTTATAAGAATTTAAAGCATTGAAATATTTTTGCTCATCAGAATAATGCAACAAAATACTTGATAAGGTAATCAGTAGTTCTTAAAGATACAATAGCTTATATTTTGTAAGTAATAAAAATAAGGTAAAGGAATTTCAGACAGAAAGTATATTTTCGTCTTTAGAAATGATTTTGCTTAGTTCAATGGGGAAACAAATTTCCTCAAACTAAACTCAAAAATGCATGTAATTTTTGCTTGTTGATGCTAAAAACGAACATAAAAGATTATCATTATTATTATTGTTATTTTGTTAGTTGACATATTGTAGCGATATATATGTTACCGTGAAAGACCGAAATTGGAGAATGTCGACTTTCACCGGAGAATGTCAACATTCACCAAATACGTCGGTGAAAGATCGAATATTCCATTACATTCTTGTAGATTCGGACCCTCACTGGTGTATGTCGACAATCACAGATATGTTCTGGTATAGGACGAAAAGAGAGGAATATATGTACACGCTGTCATTGCAAAAGGAAGTGTTCCACAAATAAATGCGGTTGTAAAAGCAAGGGCCTCTTGTGCAATTCAAAGTGTCATAGTAGTTTAAGTTGTTGCAATAAATAAGATTTGAATCACATAATTTTGGTAAGTTTTTAACTTCTATTATTTTACTTTCTCATTTTGAATGTACTGTGTGTTTTAAGTTCTTATGTTCTTAAGTTCTTATTTTAAGTCTCAAGTGCATTTTATCGCTACTGAATTACGGGGAAGAAAATATAATATTCTTATATGTTCAACATTCACTATTAGTACACGGTGAATGTCGACATTGACCAAGTGTAAGTCAGAAATAAGAGCATTTGGAAAATATTTCGGACATACACCAAGCGACTATGTGAATGTTGACATTCACCGGTGAAAGTCGACATTCTCCAGATTTCGGCGTTTCATCGTAACATATACATGTATTATTGTATAGACCTTGAATTCTTTAGATAAATAAATGGTTAGAAAACATTGAAAATATATCAAAATCATATGCACGCTAATGATAAAGTTTTCAAAAAAGTCATTATTTCAATATAATGCTATTCATAAAAAACAAATCTATTCAATGTTATTTTAGGTAATACTGGAAGTAAAAAAGGTGTTATGCAGTTAATTATTTTATATATTTAATTTTTCGGCTTCTATGGTGTTAAAAAGGGCTCCGAATTCTGATTCCACTTGCGAAACTTCTACAAAAATTTCAAGTAAATCATAATTTATCATAAGAAATGCAGAATCACTTAGCAAATGCTTATGAAGAAAAACACAAAATGGTAAAACTGCACATATAAACTGAAGCCTTAAATTTTATATCCTTCATGCAGTTTTGTAATTTGACATTAAAAATTAGTGAAATTAAACAAAAAAAAAAAAGTTATCTTTCCATGTAACTGAGTTATCCTAGCCCTTAATATTGAGAAACAAACTTACGTAGTATTTACTTTATACAATTTGAAACCAATTGCTCATAAAACCAAATAAACTTGGAGAATGAAACTTTCAGTTTTAGAATATAAATGCCGTATTTATGCGTTTAGCATTTTTTTTTTAATCATACTTACTTAGTCCTATCTAAAACTGCGAACGTAATATTTTCTTCTGTGATTCCATGCTTTTATAAATCTCAGTATTGGTAAATTATCACAGATTTGACATTAATAAAACAAAATGCTTTGATAATTTAATTTTTAAGTAAGAACTTTCCAAAGAATTTAGGAAATGAAAAATAATTATTTCAGTAACTTAAACCATGTAATAATTCAAAATATAATTCGCGTTTATTTCTCGTAATTTGTAGTGAACATTGAAATGGGATACTAAAGATAAAATTTCTAAAATTTTAAAACGAAGACCCCTTAGACAGCTTCATGCAAATCTCTAAATTATGTGCCAATAATAAAACGAAAAATTTTGCTCATTAGCTAATGTATTTAAAAAATTTAAAACTGGTTAATTTTCATTAAGAATTCAATACTATGCATTTTTAAGACAGCAATCTGAAAAGTAAAATTTCACAGACTTTTAATCATTCATTTCTTTCGCAGGGAGATACATTTAGAAAGAAAGTAACAGATCTCACTGGGTAATGATTAAATGGATCAAGGGGCTATCAAAATATTCATTTTCTATCAAAAGCTCAAACGCGAAGTTATTTTTGCCTACTGCATTTCTGTTGTTGAAAAGAAAGGACTAATTAAATTGCTTGTATGAGAAAGATTTAAGTAAATATGTAAGATTTTTGATGAATGGCAAAGCATCAGTAGCTAATCCTTTTGTCCATTTCTTTTTTAAATGTGAGCAGAATTTTCGTTCTGTAACTTTAACATGCATACATATGGTACGACGTCATAAATATTTTCATATGAGCTTTCAGTTTGTTAGCTATATTTCGAGATAACTTTCTAATTTTATTAAGCCTCTCTTCTGTAGAATGTTTTCATCTATATGCTATTAGATTTTATTCTGTAGGCAATTCCACGCAACGTTTTTTCAAACGCATCTTTAAATAAGATCACGTTTAATGAAATGTCCTATTTTTAAGAGCTACCATCTTATTGTTATTGTTACTAGTCTCACTCGTCTGACAATGGGCAGCACAAGCCCATCATGGCAAAGCGTCAAATGCACCTGTCGTTGGCAAGAGACTTCAGCACCATACTGGTGACAGCCCAACTTTAAAAGAGAATAACCCGGAGGGACGGGTCCAAGGGTCTCTCACCCCCCTCTTCTCCTACCACCAACCTCTCGAGAGGACTTTCGGCTCTCCGTATATTTAGAGTGCTGCCATGCCCCACAGACACTATACATTTACAGACATCCATGCTTTCCCAGGATTCGAACCCAGCCCCTTCGGTAGGGCAGTCAGAGTCACTAACCACTATTCCGTTGGGTACCAAGAGCTGATATATAATGATTTAAAGTGTCTTTTTTTATTTAGGTTTAATAAATACTTGTTCTGAGGTTTTGAGTTTTGTATGTTAAATTTTTATGTACAGACAAATAAGTCTTATAAATGTTAGCCTGTAAAAAGGGCGTTAACAACGTAAAATAGTAATATAATTCCTAGCTAGAGTACTTATGAAATGGTTTAATATTTTGCCTGATGGTTCAGAAAGTTAATGTAACTTTTCATAGCAAATATGCCCCTTGGTAATGAAATTAAATTGCATGTAGACCATCTAAGAAAGTAGTAATCTGCATATTGGTACTTATTAACATTGTAAAGGTATAGATGCAAAGTGACAGAGGAGAAAAAGCTACTGGATACAATTATAATCAAGGCTTTTTCCTGTAACCTAACATGATGAGATACTGGCTTTCAAATGAGATACTAACAAAGTAAATTCAAAGACAAAAACTGTTCTTGTAATGTAGTCTTATCCAAAGCAGAAATCTTAAAGTCCTATACGCTTCGCTGAGTCCTCTATGCTTTAATCGACTCAAATGAAGTAATATATAAAAAAAATATGCTACACATGGAAGTTTCAAAAACTTAATATAATAAGTAGTAGGATTCAACTTACCCAAGCATTCGCATGTATGATTTTTATCCATTAAACTAATTATCTATTTAGGAGGTATTAAATTTATATTCCTCACCAAAAAGGATTTTATCTGGATGATTATAAGCAATAAATTGTTTAAAAAATATATAAATAAATAAAAGTAGCTTCTTTTTGGGTTAATTTATTAAAATTGTAACAGCTGTTAAAATAAAGATTACTGCTAATTACCTGCTTCAGCCTCTTTTATTCTAGTTGATAGTAGCTGGTTACGTATCAGGTGTTTTATCAGTTTCTTCGGAATAACCAGACGTCTGGTTTTTGACATCTAAGAAATATTTTGGATTTGTTACGATCTAACTGCAGTTATTCGTAAGCTGTAGATTACTTGTAGACTATTCTCAAACAAACAATAAGAGGAAAAAGTATTTGTTAATGGTAATCATTTTTAGCAAAATGATACAAAGCAGTTTTGGTATTCTCTGACAGTATAATACTTGGAATGAAGTTTTGAGTCTTGGCCAGATATTTCTGAAAACAATGATAGTGCTTATTGAGAAGCAAGAAGGAGGGGGGAAGTTAATTTTAGGCAATTATCCCCCAAAAAAGTGTTGACCGCTTGTTAACAAGAAAGAGGAAGAAATATATAGTTTTATGAAATACGATATGGGAAAGAATATTGATTTTGCATTCGCAAAGTATCTTAAAACTGTAATTTAAAACGATTTCTGATGTCTGCATGTACTCCTTTTTTTTTTTTTTTTTTCCGAAGATTTATTTACTATTTTAAGCCTACTTTGCGCATGGGCGCGAAGGAATGGCTTTGGTTAAAGTATGTCGCCTCATTGGCGAAAAGTTCGCGCGGAAGAGCTCGAGAAAGGGCATGTTCATGGAATGTGCTCCCACCTGGAAACTGGACTCCTCAATTTTTAACGTGATCCCTACAAAAGACGGCAGGAATAAATTTGTGAGAGCAGCTTCCGACTACACTTCATTTGCATGTAAATGAAAACGGTTGGCAGAAGTGATCATCTGGTCGGTCGCCTTTTCCCCTCCTTTTAGATTTCTCTCTCTTGCTGAACCTGCGGAACAAATTCCCGGCTGGCTATATTTATTAAAACCCATCCCCCTCCTGCCTTCTCTGTTTGCTTCCCGCCCTCGCAGAAAGCCCTCGTCATTCTTCGGCTAATCTCCCGTTTCTTCGTCTTTTAACGCTTTTTTTATAGCGGCGTTCCTTTTTTCGGCACTCTTGTCCTCATTTTCTCCCCTTAATTCATTACCTAATTACATTTTCTCCCTTCTGGAAAACGTTTTAATTTATCTTCCGAGATTTTATTTTCGTTTCCCTTTTCGTGGGCCCTTACATCCACTTGTTGTATGCTTAATTATGCGACCCGCACCATGAGGTTTCATCGGAGAACACATGACTGAAACCCGATGGTTATTACAATCAACTAAGAAAAAATAAATAAATTTTACCATGCTTTTCTCATTTTATTCAAAGCCTGCGATTTTGTTTTGTAAGAACCAATACTTCTGTATTTAAGTACTCAGTAATATCGCTTTTATTGCAAACTCTCTTATTGAGATGTCTAAATAGAATCTTATTTAATCACTATTAGAGCTTTGAGGGATAGTCCTAACTATTTTTCTTTTTTTCTTTTACTTTCTACTTTCAAACTACAGAGCTCTCTTGAGACGACCACTTCTGTGCAATATTTCCTCTGAAAGCGACCATTCTTGGGAACATGAATAAGCATCAGTGAGATTAATAAATATCACCTTTATGAGAATGTAAATAAACTTCGATACTGAGCATCTCCACAGAAGACCAACGTCATACGTAACCATACGCGGTCGCCTTAGACAGACTTCTCTGGATTTAAAAAATTTCAGCCCTTATATTTTTTATCATATATGGCATGTCAGTTATCCTTCATAACTTCCGAAAATAAATCCTACATAACTTAGATCGACTTACGAAATGGTATGTTTCTCTAGCTTTATTTTAAGATGGAAATATCGTAAGTCAAGAGTGCGTATAGTTAATTTATCGAATACGATATCTTAGTTTAGCTTATAAAGCGTGCTCGGAGAACATCATTGTCCATATTTTTAAATTTATGGACAATGATTTTAAAAGCGAGGGAAATCTCAGAATAGTGTCCGTTAAATATATTTAAATCATTTTCGTATTAAGATGTAATTATTATAATTCATTTGGAACCTTTTCTCATTTTTTGCCTAATGAAAATATCTCATTTCTTTTTCGGCATATGGCTGTGGTAATAGATTAAGAATAGCTTCCAATTATGGGAGAAATCATTTTTATGACAAACTTCTGAATGTCGCCCAGGATATTATTGAATATTGTACTGAGAGGGGAAAACAATGCAGTTATAAATGTATTCATTATGAATGTATATAAGTGAGAGCAAATTAGCAAAAAGGAAGTTTAAAGCGCTGCATTTATGTTAAATGCTAAACGGAGAAGGCTAGAATAAAAAAAAAAAATTCTCAATATTTCTTTCTTTCGGGAGAACTAACTAGCAAAATGTTCTGGACCCTGACTAAAGTTTAACTGATATGATACTCTTCAGCTAAGTGTTGATCTAAATTTACGTTTTTCGCTGACATAAATGTAACTAGTTTCAAGATTTTAAATACTTCCTGCTCTTTCAGTAAAAACTTATTTATTAATATAAAAATAGGAAATATTAGGGGTAAAAATATTATTTGCTTCTTATGCTTACAAATCGAATGTGAATGTGCCAAAATTTGCTTAAATGTTTTTTAGCCAAAAACCGCATGTTTGCTCTATCATCGTCATGATAAAATTACAAGGTGCTTTATTTCTTACTACGATATTTGGTATGCCGATGTTTTAAACTAGGAAGTTTTTGCAACGGTTTATTTTCTATCATAATTTCTTTATAATTGCAATGTTTTCTACTGAGACATTTTGAAGGAAGACGTTTTTCTCTTCCATTGTTTTTGCCCTTGATTGTTTTTTTTTTCCCTTGACGTTTTCGGGGGATATCAAGGCATTTACCATAAACGACCAGACGCTATAAGACTAGTATATAAACAGAGAAATAACAAATTGATTGCTATTTAAATATCAACTACGAGTTGCAAAAAGTAGATAGACATCATATTTTAAGAAAGTTGAAGTAGAAAAGAAAATAGTTGTAAGTAACAAATCGATCGACAAATGCTAATTACATCTCCAAATAAATAATTTCGAGAATCATTTATAAGTAAAGCATAATAACAGATGATGCATTTTCTGCAGTGCGATTATAATACAATTCCCGAATATAGAAATATAAAGAATAACACTATCATATCAATGTTGGAGTGGTGGAAATTAAAAAAAAGGGGGGGGTCTGAAAGGGTTCAGATTTTAACAATCGCCCAAAAGGTATCTATTAAAGTTTAATATAGTTTATCAGTAGGTATATCGATAGAGATGGGCAGGTGGAATAGCGAAACATTTTATATTCATATAAATATACATTCAGATTAACTTGAGAAATTTATATATTTTCTATCTGTCTAAAATGAGAAAATTACATGGTGTAATTCTATAAGAATATTTAATGTTTTTAATTTGATATGTCATCAGTTAAATACGTTTTTATTTAAAGCAATAAGATTAAAAAGTAAAGCAAATATCGACACGGCATTGAATCTGTTGCTTTTAAATGTTTTAACTTCTTAATTACTAATACACAAATTAAATATGAAAGAAAAACATCTTACATTTTCCCGAATGGCAACAGACTCGAGAGAAATGTAAAGTAATGCAAAACTCTGTTTCGAGACTAATAGCTCTTTCGCACTAGAGGGGGGGGGCAAAAGAAAAATATTGAAAGCAAGATTAGAAAATCATAAACGAGATTAGACACATTAAATATTGTTCAGAAATCTCGTCATAAATTGCAAACGGATACATGCCAAAAGATGCGATTTTTAAATAGATAATGCTTAGTAATTACATCCATTGTACAGGGTAATGAATAGTAATTATATCCCAGTACGTGTTCCCTGCGCTCTAAAATCGAGGAATCTGTGAAATCTTTTTTGATTGAAATTCGTTAGGATTTCGTTTCTGATAATTCGTTTGGATTTAAAAAATGAAATTAAATAAAATAGGACTTCTGCTCAATAAATTTCTCATATTCATATAATTGAGTATGCACGTCTTTTTCGTTTTCTTTTTTTAACATTGTACTGAAAAATAACATAGAAATGTATGTAAGCAAACATAGCAAGACATATAGGTTCGTAACACTAGTGTGGGGATAATACATATGTATAGATAGATGTAGATTTTTGTCTTGACGCACCATCGTTAATACGAAAACTCCTAAGCGGGATCCCTATAAATCGAGGGCTATCTGTAAAAATTTCTGGCACAATATATTTTGCAGAGGCATACATTAAGAGATTTTCGATTATACTGAATCTGTCTATTACTTCTGCGAAGCAATATTCGCAATAACCATTATGAGGGAAAAAATAAAAAGGGAGAGAGAGAAAGAAAAAAAAGAAAAAGAAAATTTTCCAAATATAACAAAATTTTTAAATCTATCCCAGAGGTGTTTTGAGATGCAATACTACTAAATTATTTAACTTTTCCGGAATGAAAATTCAAAATTTACTTTCTTGCCTCATTGCATTTTCTTTGCATAAAAATGCATTTATGATAGCTGAAAGTTATTTCATTTATATATGATGACTTGAAAATTTTACTGTTGTATTTTATTCATTTATTAACTCTTCCCATTTTCTTAATTACTACCCTTCTAATATCTAAACATCTTTATTTCATGGCAGTTGACGGTGCAATTCATTACGCATCTCCAACTCAAGTAACTGGACGTGCAGCCTACCAGATACTCCCACATCACAGGGACAAATTACCCAACAGTAGCGCACAGCAGATGGAAAACGATCCTAGAGAAACAGCTCTGTTACCTTCCTCTGAATTTACTCCCACCGATAGCTCATCTTCATCAAACTTGCCCGATATTCAAGCCCTCATGCGTTCTTCACCGGTGGATCCAAAAGAAAGAAGTTCACATTCAGATATGGACACAGTGAAAACCTCGAACTCACCACCAATAGCGGAGGAGGTCGATATATCCGGCCGCTCACTATCCGGAAGCAACAAACCTAAGATTTGGTCGTTGGCAGACACAGCCACGAGCAAAAGTCCTCCTCCTCCTTTAAATGGCAACACCGCGACTCAAGAAGGATCTGGAGGCATGATGGACATGTTAGGACATTGTGGTTGGTTTTCAGTGAATCCTTACCAAGTAACAAATGCATCAAGTTCTTTAGGTGGTTTCGGTGGTTACCATCCTCACCCGAGTGCCACTTTCGCTTCTCCTCCAGGTGGTCATGGAGGGGCTTGTTCATCAGGACAAGGATTCGTTCCACCTCAGACAGACACTCCACCGCAAACACCACCGAATATGAAGGTTTCTTCTGCACTGAGTTCTACGACTTACCTTGGCAGCCAAGGTGCACATCTTTACCAATCAGCTGCTATAGGTGGTGCCAATCTCAACCCCGCAATTCAAGGTATTTCTTAGTTTAATATTAAATTTTTTTTTCTCTCATGCTGTGTATTCCAAACTGCATGGAATATTTAGTAGTATTTGTGTTTATAAACATAGTATAAACAGTTTTAAAACGCTTCAGATTTTAACACATTGAAAGAATGCAACTTATCTCAGGAGCCAACTAGTCAGTTAGTACAACTTACCTCGACAGCTAAAATAGTGAAATTCTTTGCATAATTCTTGTTGAAGGTCTTTGGAAAAAATGTTTTACCGAGATGATTTTGCAAATGGGAGTTCTAAGATGATATGATTAAAACCTTTTAGTGAATAATGAAAGTTTCTGAGAAAAAATATCTTTTTATAAACAAATTGTAACCATATAACTTTTTCTTTTGTGGAACTCATTTCACTATATTCAGGATGGAACAAAACTTGCAAGGGAATAGCGTAAGTGAATATGTTCGATAAGAGCTTTTTTGAACTATTTAAACTATGCACTTAAACCTTTAGCACAATTAAATTTATAGCTGCATTCTACTTGTGTTGGGAAAGCCAAGCATTATCAGTGCTTGCTGAACGTGATTGAGATTTTCTGCTTGTCAGTGGTATTCTTTGATAGTTTAGAGAGTTACATACATGTGTAAGGTCCCTCACTTGAAATTCTAAGTTAATGTTGGAAGTGAGGAACCTACGAACTGATAAGCGAATAATCGCTAGAGTTCGAAAACAGGAAACAACAAGAGAGAAGGGTAATAACCCTTTATTATTTCTATAATATTTAACAAAACTCGCCTGGGAGTGTACAAACAAAGTCCGCACTTTGGACCTTGAACTTAAAGACGAAGAAATTAAACTAAAATAAGATTAACTAACTTTAGCAAAGCTATCAAGGTTCAATGACAGGCCCCCAACCTATTTTACTACGAAGCTTAGCAAGGGCTGAGTACGGCCGAGCGTAAAAAGCTTTGAGAGAGGAGAGCGGCCAAAAGGCAGACGCGCGTAGTTCAGAAACTCTGTTTCCTCTGTCGTAACTTCGTGTTTTAAATGCCGCTCCTTTATAAATATTCAGCAAATTCCAAAAATACGTTCTGGCCGGAAGTAGTAAGTTGAAGTTAAGAATTTGACAGGAAAGGAAGTTTAACTTAAAATTTAACTGTTAATAAAATTAATATAATCCTTACACATGAACTCTACTTACATTTGAAATTAGAGGTCATGTAGTTATGTTCGTGTACTTTACATTTTATTAAATCTATTATGAGTTCTGTCATTTCTAAATTCTATAAATACTACTACACTGTTGCCTTATCTGGCCGAAAGCTGTTACAGTTGTAGCAAATAATTCAATGCACAGTTCATAAACAAGACGCTGCTTCATTTTTTATTTCAACAAAATGTTCAGCTAAAATCAAATTTTATAAGTCTCGGAGCTATTTGGGATGGATATTTCCAAACTCTTTTAAATCCACGTCCGATGAATCTGATTGGAAGATGTAATATCAACCTGAAATCAACTTTCACCTTATAAGTAAAGGTATACCAATATAGGATGTCTTAAAACACTAAGCGCTAAGATAATGTTGGGTACGTATTAAATAAAAAAAGAAAAATCACTCCATGTCAATTATTCTGCCACCTTAAGTTACTTGTCACATACTGTACTGTTATCCTTAACTCATTGAAGAGATTATAAAACATTAAGCTTGATTTGTTACCCATTGCTTTTGATGTTATTCGAGAGCCAATGTACGTACTAACCCGATGCAATTAAACTCGTCGAACTAGTTACCTTTTCTTAATTTTACGTTTCTCAATATGTATACCGACATCAAGCGAATCACTTTTTGACGCATTCCTGTGAACAAAGTGTGGATTATATGTGCTTATATAGGTCATCCGTGGAAATAAGCCACGAGCTAACTTTCGAGATACTTAATGCTGTTCCACGCAGCGAATTAAAAGCCTAATACAGTAAGACCCCGCTTAACGCGGGGGATACGTTCCATCAAAGTAGAGCGTAATGCGAAACAGCGCTAAACGAGGCTATCTTTACATGTAAATATTGGGGTTAGGGGAAGATGGCTAGGAAATGGTTAGGTATTAAATTTAAAAATATGTTTTTTTTAATAAAACTAAAACCAACATTATTCTTAAAGCCCAAATTAATACCACTTATTATTCTTGCAAAAAAAAAAAAAATATAAATAACAAAACAATATTCTTAAAAAAAAACAAAAATTCTAAGTCAGTCATATTTAGTTAGCCTTCCGCTTTTCGTGTTACTGCCTTTTTGTGACAAAAGCATCTAATGTTGTTTGCCTTTTTCTTTTGCGTTTTCTCTTAAAAGTTCTTCATAAACGGATAGAGCATCTCTAACACCACGCCTTACTTTTGAGCTCCTGTCAAAATTCGGATCATTTTCAATGAATTGATCCATTATTTCAGTTATGGTAGACAAACTCCTTTTTACAAACGCCATCGAAAGTTCTTTTAGCTCTTCTTCTGAATCACTGCTGTCAACATTTTTGTTTCTTCTTGTTCAGTTAATTCCTTGAGCTCATCATTAGAAAGACTAGCCGCTGCTCTTGAATTATTTCTTCGCATCTCCACATTTACCCCAAAATATGTCTGTACAATACCGCACCAAACAAGAAACAAGTACACTCTTTCGGATATGTATTTGAAACCTATCGCTGCATAATATTTCGGGGAATCCCGTATGCTGCGAGCGATTTCGTGGAATCCCCGGGTTGAAATAAAAGAGCGCTAAACCGAAACAGCGCTAAACGAAACAGCGTTAAGCGGGGTCTTACTGTACTTCAAAACGCCATGATCTCTTTATGCATTCTTCATGCATAAAGACACTGCATTCCTTTACGCAAAAGCTAACTAAATGATGAAGATGCATGAATGAATGTTCGTCATTTAGTTGGGATATGTTCAACTGCCCTGTGCAGTTTCATAGATGATTTTGGTTTTTACCATTTTGGTGACGATCCTCATATGTGTTAATGTACATTTCATAAGTTTAAAAATATCTTTAATAAACTGATAAATTTCACAAACTCTGAAAAGACATCTCAAACATTTTACATCAAACTACGTTTCTTACGTAATAATTTCGATACATCTTTTATCCTATCCATAGCTTTTGTAAAATTGCCATGTAATTTTCTTAATCTTGTGTAAATTAACAACATTTAATGACGCCTCTTTTCAAACTTGCCGATTTAGGAGTGGAGAGTAAGTTTTATAAAGCTGATGCTAATTTATGTGAGTTTTATGCAGATAATGTAAGAGAAATAATTTTGAAGAAAAGGTTATTGAAATGTCGAGAACGTTAGTTTTAAACTTGTCATTAAGGTTCTCCTTAATGACAAGTTTAAAGTTGCAGATTTAGGAAGAGGTGAATTCACCATATTTGGACTTTTGGAGGGGGGCTTCCTCATGTTAAGACGCAGGTTATTTTAACTATTTTTTAAACATTAATGATTTAGAATGTGGACCCTTCGCGGTTGAGATTTGCCTTATATACTTCATAAATCCTCTTCTGACAAGACATATAAGAATATTTTGTACCTAAAAATTGAGAATGAAAGCTTTATATTCTGAATAAAGCTCTAAATTTCATTTTAGTAATACAAAACTTTAAGAAAGTAGGTAATATTTGATGAATGAGAAGCCATTCATATAATACTGGCTTGTCATTCATCATCATCATTAATTTATGTGTCACTGATCCAATATTTGACACACTGAACGTAAATACGCTGAAATGCATATTTAATGTGTCAAATAGACTTTTTTTAAGCATCTAATTTATGAACTGTCAATTGTTCGTGTTCCTTTTTTTTAAATTTGAATTTTCCTTTATTCAAAGTGTAAAAAGGGGTATTTTTACATCATTGTTCTTTTCACTGGGATTTTTTTTTTAAATTCAAATATGTAAAATAAAGATTTTTTTTTCTTTTAAGTTACGCGGTTTTAGTTAAATACGCTGGAAAGTAACAAATCATTTTTTTATCAAAAATAATTTTTATAGTCTTTGCCACGTGCGACTAAAAATAAAATTCTGAGTTTCTAATAATGAAAGATTTTTGTTAAATGAAACTTTTCAATGCGAAATCTAAATGATTCAATCTAATCATTCTTATATATGTTCTTCCTGTACGATTATTTCTATCATTTGTTAAAATTACGAAAAGAAAATTCTATTAATATCATAATATAATTCGTGTATGAATGTCCAACTATTTTATCTGAATTACATATGACGAAGAATACAGTGAGTATTTACAAATTTTTAGAACGATTTGGATAAAAAAGTTTTAAAAAGCAAATGTTTTGGAATAAAATTTTTTACAACAGCTTATTATTTGACGTTAGAAATATCGTCGGCTACTTTTAAATTTATTCTTCTGTCAAAACGTCACATATAAACAAGCTGTGGATCGAAGGATGTAATTTTGCGCTCCGAAGAGAAATATTCCAATTTCATAATTCAAAAATGTCGGTATTAAAATTTCTAAGTGCAAAGTAAGAAACATTATTAATCGGAAATAGAAAACCATCGATAATTCCTTCTACATTGGGGAAGAAGACTCCACACATATACCCGAGAAAGGTACATACGTATTTACAAGTTAAATTGTTGGTAGCAAGAGAAAATTAGGTGAAGCAAAAATCGCAGAGTCTTTAGATGCATATGTAGCAACAATAAATAAAATAATAAACACAGATTCACAAGCTAAAAAACATCAAGTTCACCAGCTTTTGAAGAGGCATGTGGCTCAACGTATAATAATTTGTAGAACCCTGTATCGAAGTTATTTGGCATAAGATAAATGGAAATACATTGTGACTCTTCACAAAGCATTAGAAAACGAAGAGAAAAAAATGTACAAACCTGTTCCATCAATACAAAGAAAGTTTCATTAAAGGGTTATGCTTGTCACATGAATCTTTTACAATGAAAAATGTTTTTCCCCATGTGTAAAGCGTATACGAGCCAGTTTCGCT